CGGGCGTTCTGCACCTTAGCAAAACGCTCTGGAGACACCCCAACTGCCTGTTCTTGCCCTCAAAGGTGAAACCTAGTCCTCATTTTCCCCTCCTCCTCCGGATCCCCATACACCTATTCTCTCACTCCTGTCGCCTTCCAGTACTCCAGTAAAGGATGGTGGACCACCTCCTCCCACCAGTACCACCACCCCAAGTATGCTGATTTGGAATTCTAATCTGCCTAAGGCAGAGGCTTTGCCTAAATTCCAGGATACAAGGGCCACTCATAGCTAATAACAACGATGAACTTTCACAGGAGGTGGAGGGAATTGTACCCACTGATTAGGGCTAGTGATCAGGGAGCAGAATGACTTAAAACTGACACATGTGAGAAATATCCTCTAATGATATCATCTGGGCCCTCCCTGCAAAGTGGTGTCACCCAGGATCCACACTCCTGCTGGAGCCCTGGGTGACTCCCCTGGCCCCTTCCCATGCTCCTGACAAGAGTGAAAGAAGGAGGGAGTCCCCTACAATGTCCAAGGCCACAAAAATGCCTTTTTTGCTATGCTTAGCTGTGTTGAGTCTCATTTGGCTCCTGGCATGGGTATGGGACAGTCCCAAACCAGAATGCTAAGGTCAGCAGGCCATCTCTCATCTTCATTTGACAACAGGTTGAATTGGGCCAGCCACTCTCTGGAAACAATTCTACCAGGTAGATGGGCTCCTCCCACCCACACTAGTAACTCCACAAGCCTGAATGCAAGAGTGACCTCCCAGACAAATGGGAAGGTTATTAACATGCGGATTAAGTGTGCCTGGGTCTGTGACTCCCTGTCTAACAAAGACTCTATGTCTCAAGGTCGTTCAGAGGCCAATTCCCATTATTACTACACCTGGGCTCAACCAGGCCCTAATGGCCTCCATTCAGGACCTGTCCAACCTTGCACATGAGATGACATCCCCTCTCCATAGGATTTCACCTAAGGTGACATCACCCCTCCAGAAGGCTCCACAGGACACAGCATTGCCTAGGACCCCACCCTGAGCTGGGACCCTAATTTGGACTTTGGCACATAAACGACCCTGCCTCTCGAGCGCCCCGTGCAAGCCCTCTCTTTCCTCACAGGATCTTCTACCTGTTGGGCTTTCCCACCAGATGACACCCTGGGACCACTGCAGCAGTTAGATTGGCCGGGCTCTTTTCACAACCAGTCGAGCATGCCCCACGTCTCTAGCAATGGGGAATGGCCCCTGCCACACGCCAGCACAGATACACTCAGTTAAGACAGGTAGCGTTCTGGCGCAACTGTCCGGCTGCCCTGCTGCCCCACATAAAATAGTGACACTTTGGTGCATTGGACCATTGTGTATTTAATCTTTGGCTTCTGCACTTAGCCTCTGAAGATGTGTCTGCCTGCCCACCTAGGGTAGCTTGCTGTCCTGCCTTTCTGTTCAGTGCCTCTTTGGTGCAAAATTCTGAAAGACAGAATCCCCTAATGGGATCCCCCATGGAAGCAACAGCCCCTAGGCAGAGAGAGGAAAATGGAAAAAGCAGACCCACTCAGGCTAATGACTCCCTGCTAGAGTGCTTTACACAAACCTGTTTTACAGATCTACCCCACAAGACCTAAAGGCTTTAAAATGTTTGGAGGCAGATCTAGATCCTCTAGATTATCTAGACAGGTGTGACCACCACCTCCCTTCCTTTTAAAGAGCAAACCAACTACTGCTCCCTTATGTCCCTGGCGGATGATTTCCAAAAATTAAGAGTTTCCACTACTTTTGTCCCTCTACCTCCCATTCTTTGCAGGATACCAAGGACCACTTGACTGCCGATCGCACACCCCTGCCACTGCCTCCCTCAAAACTCTGGCCTCTTATTCCTTTTTTTTTTTTTTTTCCGTACATGGGCCTCTCACTGTTGTGGCCTCTCCCATTGCAGAGCACAGGCTCTGGACGCGCAGGCTCAGCGGCCACGGCTCACGGGCCCAGCCGCTCCGTGGCATGTGGGACTTGGGATCTGGACGTTTAACTTCCTTTGCCCAGTGAAATGCTAGCACATATGCAAGCAGAGGTCTTAAGTGTGGGCCTGACTCATTTGCTCCTGTGACCCTCCTTGAGAAAAGCACACCCGAGATAGCCCCAGAGCCCAAGGGCACCCCTGAGCCTAACCCACAGTCTGAAGCCAAGCCCAGCTGACCTGCAACCTAAAGCAGAGCCACCCAACCAGCCTAGCTGAGTTCAGCCAAAGTGCAGTCGACCTGAGGACCCCGAGTAAAGAATAAACTCTTACTGCTGCAATCCACTGAGTTCTGCAGTTGCTTCTCATGCAGCAGTGTTATTGGGGCTAAAGCTGACTAATACAGAGAATTCCTGGCAAGACACGCAATCAGTCCTTTTATTGACGAAGGCAGTCCTGGTGTGTACCCGCGTGCACATGCATCGATACCTGCACATGTGAGGATAAACCCACGTGCAACTCTGAAAAGTGGGAGCACATCCATGTACAGCTGTGCACGTGTGGGGTTACTCTCCGTCACATCTGGAGGCACGATGGCTGTGTGTGATGTGAGGGAATGTGTGTCCTTATGTCGTTTCTTGGTTTTCCTCCTCAGAACTCAGTCATCCCTTCACTATAAGGAATCCAGCTTCCGGCCAAAAACCTATGTCTGATTTTTTAAGTATTTTTTGATTGAAGGATAGTTGATTTACAATGTTGTGTTCATTTCAGGTGTAAAGTGATTCATATATACACGTATACACTTGTTCAGATTCTTTTCCATTATAGGTTGTTAGAAGGTATTGAATATAGTTCCCTGTGCTACAGGGTAGGTCTTTGTTGTTTACCTATTTTATATATAGTAGTGTGTATCTGTTAATTTCTTAGGCACAACCTTAGGCCATTACAAAGGCTCTCCCCGGCAGGCCTGGCAGAGAGGGTTAGCCTCCCCGCACCAGCGTGGTATACCGCCAGTGCACGCGGTCTCTCAGTGGGTCACAGCCAAGGACTCAAGCCCCTGCCCCAACCTGCATTCCTATCCCAGCTTTCTTCAGAGACCTTTAGTGGGAAGGGGACTGCCTTCGGCCGAGGCCCTCCTCGGGTGCCTCACCCTTATGGGGGGAGGGGGAAACCTGGAAGACACGTCTCCACTCTGCCTCAAGAGTCAGGACCTTCTTGCTCCTAGCCCTTCCCACACTCCCTTCCCCACCCCAATCGCCCCCCCCCCGTCCCCGTGGCCCCCAGGTCCATAAAACTGAAGGAGCCTTTAGTTCGGGGCTCCCCCAGCAGTGAGAGCATCCCCAGTTTTGATCCACCTGATGGGATGGTGCCATTCGTTCCAAGGGGAAAATCCAAGGAAGGGATGTCAGTGGTCTCCAGTTTGGCCTCTTTCTTACATGTGGAAGTGAACGATTGAAGCCTGACTGTCACTTTAATTTGGACTTGTCTTAACTGGCTCCTATGACACCTGGCGGCTCAGCTCTGTCCACCACTTACAGACATTAGCCTGGTGACTTTCGAAAAAGTCACTTTACCTCTTGATGCTTTGGGTTCTTCATCTGTAAAACTGAAATGCTAACATACCTACCTCCTAGGGTTGTTCCTGTGAGGATGTGATGAGTTGATAGACGTAAAGCATAAGTAAGTTCTAGCTAATAAGCATTTGCTATTATGATGTTCAACACTGTCCGTTTCTGTTTGGAAATCCATATGGTTCTGGGGGTGGCTATCGGCTTAGCCTGGGTCATGTGCTCTACCCCCCCACCCCTTCCCCTGCTCTAGGGGTCCAGTACATGATCTAGACTAAATTAGTAGGCACTCTCCACCTCCTAGGCTGGTTCCCGGTGGGCATGTGATATGAGCCTGTCCAGTCATAGCAATCTTAAGACTTGGGCTGAAAGTTCTGGGACAGAGACACTGCCTATTTCCAGCAGGACAAGAACAAGGAATCCTACACCCTAGGAGGTGCTGGCAGCCATACCGGGACCACAGGGAGTGCTGACCTCAGCAAGAGGAAACACCCTGGAGAACAAAGTAGAGAAAGAGAAACTAGGCCCTTGGTGCCGTCGCTTGATTTCTGGTTAAAGCCTCGCCTCACCTAGAATATTTATGTACCTGAGCCCTTTATTGTTTTGGCCAATTTGACTTGGATGTTCTGTTACCTGTAACCGAAAGTCTCCCAACACAGAGCGGATCTGTGAGCGGCCAGAGGCTCTTGGGAGTGGGCAGAGTCTGGGTCCCCAGGGAGGCCAATTCTGAGACAGAGCATAGGGTACAGGACATTGACTACTGAGTGCCCTTGGGACCGGCTGAAGGAGGGAGGAGAGAGAGGTACACAGGGCTGGGCAGAGGGAAGAGTCAAGCTGCAGTGCAGGTCCAGGGGCAGTTTCAGCCAACCCTCCAAGCAGCCCTGGAGCCAGAACAGCCTTTGGTGTTGGCACATTAAGTATCATGGAAGGTGGGAAGAGGCCCGGCTCTCTGCAGCCAAGGCAAAGCCCGAAGGCACTGGCAGCTGGAGGCCACCTGCCAGTGGCCCTCCCGGTAACCGGAGCAAAAGCCCTTGCTTGAGGCGGGTCCAGGCAGCGCCCCTCTTAAGTCCATCGTGAAAGAGTATGTGGCAGGGAACAGCGCCTGACTAGGTACCTGAGGATGCGTTGGTGTTCACGTCCATACACCGTTGGGGTAGAAGCGGTGGACAGACAGACGGCTGGACTGGAAAAGAGATGGCCAGCAGCAGTGAAGGTCCAGCAAGTTCCCAGGTGTATCAAACTCAAGGAATCCCCCCTCCACCCCGGAACTGGCCTCAATAGGTCTGGGCACAAATCAGGTGGGAAGCTGGAGTCACACTGCACCAGGGAGGGGGTGGCCCGGAGCCACAGAACCATGGAGACTCAGGCAGGGGGCGGCGCTCCAGCACTTCTCAAGAAGTTTGGAGCCCCAGATGCAGGCAGCACAGTTGCCCACCCCTAATCTTAAGACAAAATCCATTCCTACCTAGGCTTCTCAGGAAGCCCCAGACACTGGCAAAAGGCAAATCCAGCTTTATTGGTAAAAAAGACTTGACTAGGAATTCCTACCTGGCTCAAGTAGCAGCACCAACCAAAAGAATGGAGGGAGAGGGGGATGCAGGAAGCGGAAAGAAAAAAGGAAGAAGCAAGGAAGAAAAGGACGGAGGGAGGGAGTATGAGGAAGGAAGGAACTGCAGACCAGGGTCTGGATGGGGACGTGGTCTTGGAAGGAGAGAACTCAAGGCTCTGGGTGTGGGGAAGGGACCAGGGAGGGAGGGGTGGCCCATCGCCCCACCATCTAGAAGGGCAGCAGCTCTTCCACAGGGATGTTGAGGATGATGTCCATGTTAGGGTTGCACCTGGTAGGAAACAGCAAAGAGGGGTGTGAGACACCAAGCAGGGGCGCCAGAGCTGCAGGCAGGGGAGCATGGCCTCAGAGGAACACAACCTGTGACCTTACAGCAAATACACACACATGCGCGCGCGCGCGCGTGCGCGCGCCCACACACACACGTCAAAATGGAAAAGGAACTGGTTTGGCAGGACTCATGTTGCCCCACAGAGCTCTGAGGCCAAGAGGAAACAAGAGCTCAGCTCTGAAGTGCTGGGGCCCCTCAGGACGAGCGCTCTCTCTGGAGTCAGGATGACTGGTTTGGAAGCCTAACTCTGTGTCACCTTGAGCACACTGCTTCTCCCCTCTGAGCCTCTGGACATCACTGGGCACCTATGTAACAAGCACTCACTATGTGACAGACCCCAGGCGAGCCTCGTTTCCTCATCTGTCAAGTGGGGAGGGTCCACCTTCAGTCACTGATGGGACGATTAAATGAGACTGTGCCAGCATGTAATAAGTGCTCAGTAAATGACAGGCATTATTGTTTCCGTAAAAGTAGCAAGAGCAGTGGGTTCCCATGTGCACTATCTTCCCATCTCAGTGACCAGCACGAACATTTCCAAGGCTCCAGGATTACATTCTCCCTCCCAGTTCTCTCACCCACTCTCATGGTACATACTGACGCACGCTGAAGGATTTAGACATGAAATGTCAGGATGTCTGCAATTTACAACATTTCAGAAGAAAGAAAAAGGAAGAAATGAAGATGAAGCCAATATGGCAAAAATATAACTGTTTCTAAATCTAGATGGGTAACTGGGTATTCATCATAATACTCTCTGGACTTTTCTGTATATTTGAAATTGTTCAAAATAATAGTAAAAAAAAAATGCATCTCTGTACTGGCAATGCCCAAATTTCCATCTCCAGTCAGTATCTGTCTTCTGATATCTACACTCGTACCCCCAACTGCCTACCTGACAGCTCCACGTTGAGGTCTCTGTAAATTAAACTCAGTGTCCCAGTCAACTGCGGACTGACCTGCGTAAGCATCCTTCACCCCCCGGCCCCAGCCTTCCCTCTCTCTGGATCTGGCACCACTACCCACCCTGTGACAAAAGCCAGAAACCCAGGGGTCATTCTTGACACCTCCCTGTCCTTGACTTCCCACATCCAAATATCACCAAGGCCTACGGGTTTACCTTCTTCAATACTTCTCCACTCCATCCATCTCTCCTCTCTCTTCTGCCACCCACCCTAGCCAAGCCACTCCCGACCCCCCTCTACACACACGACTGCCAACCAGACTCCCAGCACCTCCTCTGGCCCCTCTCCAATATCTTCTCCACCCTCTTTTCAAAGTAACTCTTCTTGGAATGCAAATCTGATGTCACCACTCAGCTTACAATTCCTTTGCTTTCAGGGTCAAGTACCAAACTCTTCCCTCCGTCTACCGGGCCCTGCGTGGAGGTTCCTAGGGGCTGAGCTGTCCTGCTTCCTCCCCGTTACCCTCCCCACCACTCTGCATTCCAGCCTCATTCAGCCCCTGGTAAATGCCAAGTTCCCTCCTACCACACATGCTCCACAGCCTCACTGCTCGGCTTGTGATCCAGGGACTGGCAACGTCAGCCTCACCCAGGAGCTTCTCAGAAATGCTGACTCCTTAGCCCCACTCCAGACCTACCGGTTCAGCATCCGCTTTGTAACGAGATCTCTAGGTGATTCCTGTGCACATTCTGGTTGGAGAAGCTCTGCCTAGGGATGCGCCACTCCCACATTTTAGGAGAAAGCTTCTTCCCATTCCTGGTGTCTCCCTGCCCATGGAGGGGCAGCAGCAGGCATACTGCTCCTGGCCTCTCTTTACTCACTCTGCCCCTGGAAAGGGGTGCAACGACCTGAGCAGTGAGTCTGGAGAATAGGATGGGGCATGGGTGCCCTGTTCCCTCTCGGCAACGAGCAACCTGCAAGGACGACACTCTCTGCTCCAACACAGCTGACCAAGGAGCTCGATTTGCCTAATTCTGGGTTCACTATTCAGAAGCCAAGATATCTGGAGATAGAAGCTGTTGCTACATTCTCTAAAATCAGCTTTATCAGAATAAAAGTGAGAGTCTGGCCCATGTCTGCCTTGCCCCTTTCAGTCTTATTTCAATGTGTTCAGAGCTCAGATAAGGACGATGGTGCCTACTCACCACACCCCCAAGACGCCAGCACCACCACCTGGAAATGTTCTTCCTTCAGTTTCCCCCTTCAGCCCCTTTTGCCCAGTGAACTTCTATGCATCATCCTTCAGACCTTGGTTTAAACTGTCACATTCTCAGGGAAGCCTCTCTTGACCTTCCAGGCTCCTCTCTGTCCGGGCTACGCTCTGCCAGCGCCACATCCATACCTCTGCTTCAGCAGCTCTGGGGTCAGCTGCCACGGGACCTTTGTCGGTGGCTCGTTATCGATTAATGTCTGGTCCCCTCCTTGGCTCCATGGTGGTAGAGCCAAGGGTTACTTGCACTCACAGTGCCTGGCACTCCATAGGCACATCATAAATTTGACAGTACTTTTTAAGGAAAATAAGAGGAGAATGAAGAATAGGAGGTAGAGGAGGAGGAAAGAAAGGGAGAGGAAGAGAAGGAGATAGACATAGAAGCTAAGAAGAAGAAATAATTTGCGGATGGTAAGATCTGCCCCACATAGAGAGGCGTGGCCTGGTGGGATCCTCACCCTCAGACCCAGAGGGCCTGACCCAAGGGAGGGCAGGCAGAGAACTGGTTTTGGAAGGAGGGAAGTCCTTCCTTTGGGGCCCAGAATTCTGCCCCACGGAGAGAACACCCTTCTTTCCCTGCAGTGTGCCTTCCAGGCCATTCGTCTCTGGAGCCGACCACCCCACTCAACACTGTCTTCCTGAACACCCCAGGAGCTTAGGGGTGGACACACTTGGCTGAAACGTGGAATGTGGAATTGAAAGGGTCCAGAGAGATTACCTAACTCAGCCTGCTGTGCAGAGATGGGACACTAAGGCCCAAAGATGGGAAAGGTCACATCTGCTACACAGTCAGGGGCAAAGCCAAGGCAAAAACCCAGCCACCTGCCTCCTCCACCAGGCTGCCTTCCCCGAGAACAGAGAGCTTCTTCGAGTCCACAGCGTGGCTAGTTTAAGAGGTAGCTACACAAGGATCACATACTTGGATCTCCGAAGCAGAATGTCCGCAAATACAATCTCTCGGGGTTCCCAGATCTGAAACTGGAGCTGTTCCATCTCAGCCCTTAATATGGGTATTTCCTCCTCAAAATGGTCTATAAACTGAGGAGAGCAGGGGAAAGTGAGAAACGAAACATTCCCCAACCAAAGGGAGAAAAGGGCAAAATGAACAAGGATTATTGCTCATTCGTCTACAGAAATGGCCTGGGCTTTGTCACTTTTGTCACTGGGACTTCCGGACTCCAGACGGGGGTCCTCGCTGTGCAGGGCGGGGCTGGCTCACAAGTTACCGACGATGTTCGATGGTTCCGGTTAAGGGTGAGGGGATCGTGGAGAAGGGAGACAGGTTGCAAATGGGTGGCAGAGCTTGACAGTGAGAATTAACAGGGGCTGGTGGAGATGATGAAGGCCATTCACTCGGATAACTGATGAAGGTGCAAGATCACGAAAATTACCGCGAGAGGGTGGTGATGGTGGATTTCATTAACACTGGTCATGAGTGATGGTCAATGACAAGAATTAAAGAGGTGGAGACCGGGGCTGGGTAGTGAAATTAAAGTGATGGTCGTGTGGTGATGCTTGGCGATGGTGCTGCTGGGTCATGGCTGGTGGTGTTGGTTAATGAGGCAAACCCTAGGCCAGCACAAATCCCCTTCTCAGATGAATGACAAGTGGCATTAATGGCACTGCCAAGGAGGAAGGCTAACACCAGAGTCAGAGACCTCATGAGCGCCACATCAGGACAAGCCTGACTCCCACAGGTCCTGGGGACCACCCACCCTCCTGCTCTAGCACAGGGGTGACGACCACCTTTGCTGCCCACTCACTTCTCGGAACTTGTCCATGTATTTCAGTATGAGCCGGCTATTCCAAGTCTTCTGCAGGAGCGCTTCCTGATGAGCACGCTGGATTTTCTGCAGAGGAAGGAGAGGTCTGGCCCCCAAGTCTGGCCCCAGGGGCGACCATGCACTGGGTAGCATGGTGGGTGTGTGGGGGGGCCTAGAGGCAGAGGACAGGGAAAAAAGCAGGGCTGGGGGCAGGACCTGGATACCTGCCACAGTGGCTGGCTACTCACCACCACCAGAGACCTCAGTAGGTTTTTTTTCTTATTCTGAATCTGGTTGGACATAGATGCCAGGACCATTCTGCACATCTCACTGAGGTCATCCAGCTCATCCTGGGGGTCAGCAGGAGGGTGTTGGCCACCAGCCCTGCCTCCCACATGGTCTGGCGAGGCAAGGCCATGGGCTCACCTACCTGCTGGCTGTCCTTCACCTGCTGCAGCTGGCGCACAAGGTTGGCAACCTGGACCGACTTGATGGGATACTCACGGTCCATGTAAGTGCTCATGAAGCTCACTTTCTTGTGGACCTTCTCGATCTTGGCATCCAGCTGTTCCACCTGCTGCTCCAGATCTGAAGAGATCAGGAGGGACAGAAGGCAGGATCCTCCCTCAAGAACCCCCCTGGGGAGACCCAAGAGGCAAAGCTCTCCTTGACCAATGAATTGGGGTCTGGGCTGAAGCAAGTTCACACAAGGCTGGGAGGTGGTGGACAGTTAAGCCCCTAGAGAGCTCTTTACCTTCACAGGAGAAGAGGCAGTACTGGGTAGGAAAGAAACTATCCCAGAGCAAGATCCCTAGGCAAGCCCCGGCTCTGCCACTGTCACTGCATGACCCTCACCAAGACCCTCCCTCTCTGGACCTCAGTCCCCTCATACACATGCTCCCAAGGCAATGAGCCCAGTGAAATGGGGCAACACTGGCTCCCAAGACATGACCAGGGCAGGATTAAGACAGTCTATCCTGCCACCCTCCATGGAGAGGATCCCCAGCATCTGAGGCTGCCTGACACACTGCCCCTCCCCTCAGAAGGCTTCTAGTCTGCTCAGGGGAAAGAAACCACAGGCTCAGCAGGTCTGTGGCCAGTGACCTATTCCAGCCACTGACTCCCAGAGGGACGCTGGCAAGAAAGAGGGAGGCTGGGATTGGATGCTGGCTCCTAGCTGTATAACCTTCAACAGGCTACTTCATTTCCCTTACCCTCAGTTGCCTCATCTGTAAAATGGGAGAAAAGAAAAACTTCCCTGCCTTACGGGTAGTCGGAAAGATGGAGAGTGAGCCCATAAAAACAAAGCACGTAGGGCCTACAAGCGCTAAGTGCTTGATAAGTAAGCTGTCAGCTGTGCATCTTAGCAGTCCCATCGGCCTCAGAAGGGAGGTGATGGGCCTGATGGTTTCCGAAAGGGAGGTGCAAGGGGAATGCCCAGCAGCTGACCTCCACAGAGGGCCAGGCGAGGGTCAGGGAGTCAGCCCCAGGGATTCTTACTGTGTATCTTGGATTCCTCCTTCTCCTCCCATTCCTGAAGCTCACACTTCATCTGGTGCAGCTTCTTCTCGTTTGAGTACTCCAAGATGTCAGCGATGGTCTGTGGGAGTGGGGGGTGGGGAGGAGGGTCAGCTCACCCCAAGCCTCCACTGGTGCGGCCAAAGCACGGACTGTCAGAGGACTCAGCACTTCCTCAGAGGAGTCTCCAAACCCAACCCCACACATACTGTGTGCCAGGCACAGCTCCTCTTCGGGGTGGGTGCTGTCGTGCCCCAGATTTACAGGGCTCAGAGGTTAACCCAAACTCTTCCAGCTAATAAGTGCTGATGGGCATGAGTCCCCACCCCCCGCCACCCCCAGTCTGATTCCAAAGCCCAGGTAGGTGGGCCGGGGCGGGGGTGGGGGGGTGGGGGCGGAGTGTGTAAGAGATGTATCCTCCACATGGAGGAAGCAGCTTGCGCAATGGGCCGGGAGAGGCCGGGAGAAAGCAGGAGAGGGCGCCCAAGCGCTCAGGAGGGCGGCGTCGCGGGCTGGACCGCAACGCAGGGCAGAGGCAGGGCTGCGGGGCCACGGTGGGGGCTCACCGTGAAGACGTCCTCCTGCTGCAGCATCACCCTCACTTTCAGGGCCGAGCTGTCGTCCGTGTCCTGGATGGTCTTGATCAGTTCCCCACAGAGCTTGGTGAGGAAGTCCTCGTGGTTGCAGAGCTCCTGGTGCGCGGTTCGCCGGTTCCTGAGCATCGTCTGCAAGCGGAGGAACAGGGAAGGGGGGCAGTGTTTCGTGATGCGCGGAGCTGGCCGGAACCTCCGGGAGCCTAGGGACCACTTCCCTCCCGCCGCAATCCGCCCCCTTGCGGCCTCGACTGGTAAATGTCACCCGAGCTGGGCGGCGGTTCCCCATTGTCTGCGGGTCAGAGCACCTTGAATTATTTCATCCTTTCTGAAACACCCATTTTCCCATAATTTTACACTCTGAGGTGGGGATATATCTTACAGTTGGTGGCGTGTTACAGTCTAATTGACAAATATTTTATTAGTGGGTAATTAAGATAAAGGTACACCTTATTATCAATGGCTTCTTAGAATCGATGAACTATATAGTACTAGCAATAACAGAAAACGCCCAAGTAGGAAAGAAGATGGCCGAGGAGACGGGCCTTGTCTGGAGAAGAAGCAGGAGAGGCAGAGTGGATGATAATCGCTACCATTTCTCGTCAGGCAGCTGAGCTGAGCGAGGATTGTTTCATACAACAGCCCCTGGGAAAAGAATGAGCCTCTAAGGGATTAAGGGACTTGCCTAAGGGCCCCCAAGCAGGTACACATAACCTACAATAATAATAACAACAAGAACAATTGCTGAGGGCGCCTCACTCAGCAGGCGGCTCAGGGTATCAGCTTACCCTCCAACAACCCTATGTTCCCCAGCTCTATTTTACTGATAGGTGGATGGATGTTCAGGCAGGTTACATGACTGCCCCAAAGTTGCACAGACAGGAAGTAGTGGCACCGGAACTCGAAAGGCAGACTTCTGACTCCCAATGTCTACCTTTCCACCACACTAAGATGAGGAGCTGAGCGGGCCTAAGGCTGCAAGGTGGGCTGAACCCCACAGTGATCAAGACTTGGATGTTAGGCCTCGACACGCCTTGGTTCAAATGCCAGCCCTGCCACTTCCCACCTAAGGGAACCTGGGCACGTTAGTTAGCCTCCCAGAACCCTGCTGTACTCATTCCGTATGTTAGGAAACTAATACCGGCTTCAGAGAGCTGCTGCTATAAAAAACAGATGAGGTAATATTCACAATCAAGCCGCTTAGTGGCGCGTCTCACACACTCAGTGACGAGTCACCATTCTCACCGGTTCTCACCCTCCACCTCTGCCAGGCTATGTGCTCTCTTCTTTATTCCTTCTGTTCTTCATTTCTCTGTCCTTTGCTAGAAACTACCTCTTCCTATAGCCCTCAGCTGCCATATTCCTCACACAATAAATGAGTAATAGTGCAAATGCACAGCGTACTTATTATGAACTCTAAAGTATGCTAAGCACTTCCCATGCACTACCTCACTTGGGACTATTATTTTTGGTTTTGGTTTTGTTTTTTTTTTGCGGTACGCGGGCCTCTCACTGTTGTGGCCTCTCCCGTTGCGGAGCACAGGCTCCGGACACGCAGGCTCAGCGGCCATGGCTCACGGGCCCAGCCGCTCCGCGGCATGTGGGATCTTCCCGGACCAGGGCACAAACCCGTGTCCCCTGCATCGGCAGGTGGACTCTCAACCACTGCGCCACCAGAGAAGCCCACTTGGGACTATTATTATCCCCATTTTAGAGAAGCAGAACTTGAGGGTCAGAGAGATGCAGTACCTTACCCAAGGTCACTGATCGCAGAGCCCTTGTCCTTGAAGTCTGGGCTCCTAGCCACTCCACCATCTTGCCTTCACATCTCCAGACCAAAACATCTCCAAATATGGCCCACAGGGACCAGAAGCATCTTGTGAAAAATGCCAGTCTCTGAGTCTGGGGCCCACTGAGCCCCACTCCCAGGTGATTCTGATAAAGTGTAGAATTAATGACCTCTGCTCTAGAAATGGATCTTCCCTGACCACCAGCTCTAGGGTAGAAACCCTGCTTTGTGCCGTCCTGACCCTTACCCAATTTGTAATTACATAATTACAGTTTGTAATTATGTCTCCCCTTTTCCCAATTTATTTTTCTCCTAGGACTCATCACTACCAAACATAACATGTTTTTCTTATTATCTTGTTTCGTGTCTGTCTACTCAACTAGAATTTTACAGCCAGGAGGGCAGGGGCTTTGGTTGTTTTGCCACAGCTGTATGTATCTCCAGCACACAGGACAGTGCCTGGAGCTCCATAAGTATGGGTTGAATACACTGATGGGTACTATTCTTTGGGGGTTTTAATTCATTTATTATGTGTCTCCCCACTAAAGTATAAGCTCCGTCATAGCACAAATTCTAAGGGCCGTGTTCACGGCTGTGTCCCCAACACCCGGCTTGGTGCCTGGCATATCGTAGGCATTCTCTCAGGAGTTGTTGATCGAATAAGTGACTGTCCTAAGGCTGAGGGGCAGAGTCAGGATCCTACTTCATATCCAAGAACAAACCAACTGAGTCATTTCTACTCCCTTGCTCTGTTTCCCCCTTGTCCCCACAGCCCGTTCTGCACACAGCAGCAGCAGCCCAAGGACTCCTGTGAAAATCTAAGTCAGATCATTTCCCCACTCTACTCAGAATCCTCCAGGGTCATCCTGCCTTACTCTATGCAAACACAAAGCCTAATCATGGACTACAGGGCTGTATACAAGCTATCTCCTTCCCCCCACAGCCCACCATCTTTCTTCCTCATCACCTGGCCCATCACTGACCTCACACCAACCTCAGGGCCTTTGCACTTCCAGTTTCTCGGCCTGGAACATTCCCCCTCAGATGTCACCACCTTAGCAGCCTTCCCTGACCACCCTCCTAAAAGTCATGGCCACTCCATCCTCTGTGCCTCTTTAGCCCCTAACCTTATTCTACACTTCTTCATAGCTCTTAACCCTCACTACACATATTACATTTTTATCTGTCTTACTTATTGTCTGTCTCCCCGAGTAGAATGTGAGCTCCCTAAGGTCAGAGTCCACATCACTGGTGAATCCCCACACCTAGAACAGGGTCTGGAACATAGTAGGTGCTCAAATATTTGTTGACTAAACAAATGAATGATTACAAGAGACAGTATTAGGAACTGGTTAGGAGCACAACTTTTAGAGCCAATTGTCCCAAGTTCATGTTTCAAACAAAAACACATAAACCCTTCTAAAGTCAGGATAAAAATAACATCAGAGGGCTTCCCTGGTGGCGCAGTGGTTGAGAGTCCGCCTGCCAATGCAGGCAACACGGGTTCGTGACCCGGTTCAGGAAGATCCCACATGCCGCGGAGCGGCTGGGCCCGTGAGCCATGGCCGCTGAGCCTGCACGTCCGGAGCCTGTGCTCCACAACGGGAAAGGCCTCAACAGTGAGAGGCCCGCGTACCACAAAAAAATAAAAATAAAAAAAATAACATCAGAAATATGAGTTCCTACTTTACGAATGCAGGGCTGCCTCTAAACCATTTTTGCAAAATTGAAGGTTAAAGGAAAAAAAAGGTTTCAAGGCAAATACATTTTCCCCTATTTCTTCATATAACAGTCATTGTTCATTGACTCATCATATTAAAAACTTTCCTGAAGAAGTTAAGAATTCTTCTATAGTATTTTGTAGCATTTATAGTATTTGGTATTTTACTTTCTCCTATGGACACAAAAGCCCCCTCTTCTTCTAGTCATTTCAAGTACTTTGAAACAATGTTCAGAAGCCATAAAAAAAACAATGGATGGTAAGAAAGTCAATTATCAGAAGTTCTATTAGTTGATGTGAAAATTTTTAATAGCAAAAGCTCCCAAGCCTTGCTTTAAGATGTACTGTATTCCGTGAAAGGCTGATTTACTGGAAATTTTAAAATGAACAAAAGCCACTAAATTGTGCTCCTAATGCAGTAAAATAAAAAGTGATTCTGCTCCGAGGGAGCATAGTCCTGCCAACACATTGATCTTGGACTTCTGGCCTCCAAAACTGTGAGACAATAAATTTCTATTGTTTTAAGTAAAAAAAAAAAATTAGTGATTTGTTTCCCTGGGATCCTCCAAAGGTGAACAGCGAGTTGGTTTTATTTGTTCTTTCATAGATGTTCATGTATTTCATGTTTTAATGCATTGCAGTCATTAATGTTAAAAAAAAAGTGATTCTGATCATTTTCCTGAGTCTTAAACACGAAGGCAAGGGACTTCCCTAGTGGTCCAGTGGTTAAGACTCTGTGCTCCCAATGCAGGGGGCGCAGGTTCGATCCCTGGTCAGGGAACTAAGATCCCACATGCCTTGCAGCGCGGCCAAAAAATACAAAAACAAAGGCAAACTGCTGTTTGCCTAACTGGCTTTGACCCCTGGTACTGCATTTTCTAGCTGCGTGGTCTGTGTCATCTCCCTGCACCTCGGTTTCCCCATCTGTAGAAGAGGGATGATGATAAGCGTGCCCACGGGGTTGCTGTGAGGATGAGGGGTCAAGTCAGGCACCCATGAAGTGCTCAGTGCGTGTTTGCTATCACCATCCTCCGCCCCCTGCCCTGGGCCCTGGTGCCTGCGGAAAGATGCTCGTCATACTCTCACTAGTCGGATTTTGGTCTGTGTCTTCCCCGAGTCCAACTTTCCTCCGCGCAGTTCTAGTGGATTCCTCGGCTGACTTGTCATCCACAAGGTGGGCTTGGATTGCAACCCTAGGGTATAGGAAAGGACAGAGAGAGTGTGAGTGTAGAGGCAGGTCTGGGGTTAGGTCCCAGGGAATGCACCAGCCATGAGAAACCCCAATGCCATCCACTCATGTCCTTATAATATACGACAGTGAGACTGAGGAATGAAGCTCACATCCATCAGTTAGCTCCCAGGCCCCACTCTGAGCCTTGTTATAAAGGACAGAGAAGCCCAGGAGACTTCCACATACCACAGTGACGGTGGGGTTGAACAGAGGGGAGGAGAGGGGTAGCAGCAGGAGATGGCCAGACATCCCCAATCTCTCCCACCAAGCTGGCCGGTGGCAAGCTCAGAAGGGGTAGGGGTTAATAGCAACAACTAATGAAGCAGACAGCCTGGGTTTGAATCTGGATTCTGCCTTCTACTAGCTATATGACCTTGGGCAGGTCACATGACCTCTCTGTCCCTCAGCTTTCCCATCTGTAAAACAGAAATAATCATCATGCCTACCTCACAGAGTTGTAGTGAAATTTAAAAAGAAGTTACTATAAAGTATTTGGAATAGTGCCTAACCCATATTCAGTGCTAAATATAAATTACTAGCTGTCACTGTTATTACCAATGACCTGAGAATTGGGATCAGGACCACAGCATCAGATAAAGGCACAGGAGCCGTGCAAAATGCTAACCAGCTGTCTCCGGAATACCTGTAAAAGCTGTGGTCCTGCCAGATGAGAAGTACACGAAAATAATTCAGATCGGAAGAAGGCATTAGGAGGGCATGTCCTGAGAATCCCTGCTTCCTCTCCACGCGTCCTGCGCAGTTATGAGGCAAATCACACAGATGATCACAAACGCTACTGCTGCCTTGTCAGCCCCCGCCAACATCTCTGTTGGAGGTGCAACCCAGTTCATTTTTGAAAAATATTATTTCTTTTATGGATCAATATCCTTAATTTAGTATTAAGTGTTGAAGTGACAAAGTAAAATTAGAGTAATTTTGTGTTAAAGTTATGAATTATCTGTATGTATCTGGTATTTAATTGTATTGTTTGAGAGATGGAGTGATTAATAGATTAATTTTGTGGTTCTAATTTAAAATGTGTAAGTGAGATTTTGATTTAGATTTGTTTCAAGTTGAAAGGTTTAATACACTCTTATTAAATGTGTATAAATTACAACTTTTAAATGAACATAAGATTATCCATATTTAGAAGTTTATTTATTAGATATACAAGACTTACATTAAATACCCAACGGTTTTGTTCATCAGAACAAGTGAACTCTTTGAAAATGAAAGTGAATATATTAAATTTTAAAGGCGGCTTAAACGATTTAGGAGAATTTAATTAACCAACTTCCAAAACCCCCTTCACAAGGGTTTTTAAAAATTATAACATTTGTAAGCTGAACTTAAATACTTAGCAAGATTTATTGCTTTAATAAGGAGTATTTCTTTTCATTAATGGTGGTAGCCCTGATTTATTATTTTTGTAATTAAACTTTTTATTTTTAAATAAATTCAGATTACATTTACTTAAGAAATAATGCAGAGAAATCCTATGTTCCCTTAACCCAATTTTTCCCGACCGTAACATCTTGCAAAACTAAGTACAATATCACAACCAGAACACTGAAAGACAGAACATTTCCACAACCACAAGGATCTCTTATGCTGCCTTTTATTGCCACACCCACTTCCCTCCCCTTCCATGCTCCCCCTACCTATGTCAATCACTAATCTGTTCTCCATTTCTACAAATTCTGTCATTCCCAGATGGTTATACAAATGGAATCATACAGTATGTCACTTCTGAGATTGGCTTTTTTCACTCAGCATAATTCTCTGGAGATTCATCAAGTTAGTGAATGTATCAAAAGTTCTTTCCTCCTTCTTGCTGAACAGTACTACATGCTATGGAATGGATGTACCATCGTTTGTTTTTTGTTGTTGTTGTTGTTTTGGGGAGTTTTATTTGCGGTACGCGGGCCTCTCACCGCTGCGGCCTCTCCCGTTGCGGAGCACAGGCTCCGGACGCACAGGCCCAGCGGCCATGGCTCACGGCTCACGGGCCCAGCCGCTCCGCGTCATGTGGGACCTTCCCAAAACGGGGCACGAACCCGTGTCCCCTGCATCGGCAGGTGGACTCCCAACCACTGTGCCACCAGGGAAGCCCACCATAGTTTGTTTAACAACTCACTCATTAAAGGACATCTGGATTGTTTCCAGTTTGGGGGTTTGAATTATGAATAAGGCTACTCTGGAACTTTCATGCACTTTTTTTTTTTTCACTTTTTTAAATTGAAGTACAGTTGATTTACAAGCTGTCTTAGTTTCTGGTGTACAGCAAAGTGATTCAATTATATATATTATATATATATATATATATACTTTTCATATTCTTTTCCATTATAGTTTATTACAAGATATTGAATATAGTTCCCTATGGTATACAGTAGGACCTTGTTGTTTATCTATTTTATATATACTAGTTTGTATCTGCTAATCCCAAACTTCTAATTTATCTCTACACCCACCTTTCCCCTTTGGTAGCCATAAGTTTGTTTTCTATGTCTGTGAGTCTGTTTCCCTTTTGTAAATAAGTTCATTTGTATCATATTTTAGGTTCCACATATAAATGATATCATACGATATTTGTCTTTCTGATTCACTTCACTTAGTATGGTAATCTCTAGGTCCATCCATGTTGCTGCAAATGGCATTATTTCATTCTTTTTTATGGCTGTGTAGTATTCCTGTGTGTGTGTGTCTGTGTGTGTGCGTCTGTGTGTGTATACACACCACATCGCCTTTTTTTTTTTAACATCTTTATTGGAGTATAATTGCTTTACAATGGTGTGTTAGTTTCTGCTGTATAACAAAGTGAATCAGCTATACATATACATATATCCCCATATCTCCTCCCTCTTGCGTCTCCCTCCCACCCTCCCTATCCCACCCTTCTAGGTGGTAACAAAGCACCAAGCTGATCTCCCTGTGCTATGTGGCTGCTTCCCACTAGCTATGTATTTTACATTGGTAGTGTACATATGTCCATGCCACTCTCTTTTTGTCCCAGCTTACCCTTCCCCCTCCCAGTGTCAAGTCCATTTTCTACATCTGCATCTTTATTCCTGTCCTGCCCCTAGGTTTTTCAGAACCTTTATTTTTTTATAGAGTCCATATATATGTGTTACCATACTGTCTTTGTTTTTCTCTTTCTGACTTACTTCACTTTGTATGACAGACTCTAGGCCCATCCACCTCACTACAAATAACTCAATTTCGTTTCTTTTTATGGCTGAGTAATATTCCATTGTATATATGTGCCACATCTTCTTTATCCATTCATCTGTCGATGGACACTTAGGTTGCTTCCATGTCCTGGCTATTGTAAATAGAGCTGCAATGAACATTTTGGTACATGACTCTTTTTGAATTATGGTTTTCTCAGGATATATGCCCAGTAGTGGGATTGCTGGGCTGTATGGTAGTTCTATTTTTAGTTTTTTAAGGAACCTCCATACTGTTCTCCATAGTGGCTGTATCAATTTACATTTCCCCCAACAGTGCAAGAGGGTTCCCTTTTCTCCAAACCTTCTCCAGCATTTATGGTTTGTAGATTTTTTGATGATGGCCATTCTGACTGGTGTGAGGTGATACCTCATTGTAGTTTTGATTTGCATTTCTCTAATGATTAGTGATGTTGAGCATCCTTTCATGTGTTTGTTGGCAATCTGTATATCTTCTTTGGAGAAATGTCTGTTTAGGTCTTCTGCCCATTTTTGTATTGGGTTGTTTGTTCTTTTGATATTGAGCTGCATAAGCTGCTTGTAAATTTTGGAGATTAATCCTTTGTCAGTTGCTTCATTTGCAAATATTTTCTCCCATTCTGAGGGCTGTCTTTTCATCTTGTTTATGGTTTCCTTTGCTGTGCAAAAGCTTTTAAGTTTCATTAGGTCCCATTTGTTTATTTTTGTTTTTATTTCCATTTCTCTAGGAGGTGGGCCTTACATTTAGGTCTTTAATCCATTTTGAGTTTATTTTTGTGTATGGTGTTAGGAAGTGTTCTAATTTCATTCTTTTACATGTAGCTGTCCAGTTTTCCCAGCACCACTTATTGAAGAGGCTGTCTTTTCTCCACTGTATATTCCTGCCTCCGTTATCAAAGATAAGGTGGCCATATGTGCATGGGTTTATCTCTGGGCTTTCTATCCTGTTCCATTGATCTATATTTCTGTTTTTGTGCCAGTACCATACTGTCTTGATTACTGTAGCTTTGTAGTATAGTCTGAAGTCAAGGAGCCTGATTCCTCCAACTCTATTTTTCTTTCTTAAGATTGCTTTATTATTCGGGGTCTTTTGTGTTTCCATACAAATTGTGAAATTTTTTGTTCTAGTTCTGTGAAAAATGCCAGTGGTAGTTTGATAAGGATTGCATTGAATCTGTAGATTGCTTTGGGTAGTAGAGTCATTTTCACAATGTTGATTCTTCCAGTCGAAGAACATGGTATATCCCTCCATCTGTTTGTATCATCTTTAATTTCTTTCATCAGTGTCTTATAGTTTTCTGCATACAGGTCTTTTGTCTCCTTAGGTAGGTTTATTCCTACCTAAGGTATTTTACCCTTTTGGATATGCTCTTGCACTGGTTTTTGTGTGACCATAAGTTTCACATCTCTGGAACAAATGCCCAAGAGTGCAATTGTTGGACCATTATGGGAAATGTGTGTTTAGTTTCATAGGAAACTGCCATATTCTTTTCCAGAATGGCAGCTCCATTTCACATACCCACAAGCAATGTATGCATGACCCAGTTTCTCCTCGTTGCCAACATTTGGTGTTACTACTATTTTCCATTTTACCCATTCTGATAGGTGTGCAGTGACACCTCTTTTTGGTTTAATTTGCATAGCCCTAATGGATAATGATGTTGAACATCTTTTCATGTGCTTATTTACCATGTGTATTTCCTCTTTGGGTGAAATGCCTCTTCATGTCTTTTGCCCATTTTCTAACTGAATTGTTTTTCTAGTGAGTTTTGATGGTTCCCAATATATTCTACAAAGCAGTCCTTTGTCAGATATGTGGTTGGCAAACATTTTCTCCAAGTCTGTAGCTTGTCTTTTCATACTCTTAACAGAGTCTTTCAAAGAACAAAAGTCTTACATTTTGATGAAGTCCAACTTGTCCGTTTATTTCATTTTTCTTTTATGGATCCAGCTGTTTGTGTAAAGTCAAAGAACTCTTCACTTGGCCATCAGTCCCAAAGATTTTTCTCTCCTATGTTTTTTCCTAAAAGTTTTACTGTTTTACATTTTACATTTATTTTTTACTTCATTTCTCCAGTGGTTGACTGTGGGTCCTGGAGCCAAACTGCCAAATATCACAGCCTGGATGTGCCCATCCTACCTGTGACCTTGGGAGTTACACCTGTCTCTGCCTCAGGTTCCTCATCTGTAAGAGGAGGTGATAACAACAGCACTCACCTCATGGGGTTGTTGGGAAGATTAAATGAAGTGATAGGTGTAAAGTGTCGAGAACAGTATCTAGCACATAGTAAGTGGTTGGTATATGGTAACTGCTCTTGTTCTGTTTGTGGGTGTGTCTGTTACATACCTCACCGCTTCCCCAGTGAAAGAAAAGGGCAAGAGCTTCCTTGTAGATGCTGTTTGAATAGGGTCTAGGACCAAAGACAAAAATTCTGTCACTAACACCCGGTCCTGGGCTTCCCTGGTGGCACAGTGGTTGAGAGTCGGCCTGCCGATGTAGGGGACACGGGTTCGTGCCCTGGTCTGGGAAGATCCCACATGCCGCGGAGCGGCTGGGCCCGTGAGCCATGGCCGCTGAGACTGCGCGTCCGGAGCCTGTGCTCTGGAACGGGAGAGGCCGCAACAGTGAGAGGCCTGCGTACGGCAAAAAAAAACAAAAACAAAAACAAAAACTACCACCAGGTCTTGTGCTCATCACTTTATATCAATGACTCTCAACAGGGGTGTTTTAGATATATTGGCGGGGGGGGAATCTGTGGGTTCTCATTGGGGGCCCAACTGGCATCTATAGGTGGGGGCCAGGGACACGAGATATCCCCCAGAACAGGACAATCCCACAGAACATAGAATTCTCCTGTCCTCCATAACTCTCCTAAGTCCTACTAGATATGACATAGGTAAAACCCCTATTTATAACAATCTGATCCCAGAACCTGACTCTGTTTTACATATAGCCACAAAGAATATTTTTCAGGGTTTTACTATAATGCTGAATTTTCCAAGAAAGCAGCTACAATCAAGGGTAGATTGTGCTTTTTTTGTTTAGAACTTTACCAAGAGATGGGCACCACTTTGGAAATCACAGTTGCAATGAAAAATCCCTCTTGGTATGTTGAGTCCCTGATTTCCCACCGTGTGTCACTCTGCATTTGCAACTGTTATGTTCACCATGACTCCACATCTATGAGTAAGCTTCTGATGACTTTCTAATGTCTTCTAGTGGACTCCATTCTGAGCATGTACATACTGAAATATACTTTATTTAACTATAAATAACTTTCCATTTCCTTTACAGTTATGGTATTAAATTAATATTTAAAAATTATATATGTAGGTAGGTTATATTATCTATGAAGTTTATTTCAGGATACTAAAGGAATATTACAAAATATTTGTAATATTTATCATTAAAAGGAGTGTTGGGTCTGAATAGCAATGCTTTATACAGATCTTCTCATTTAATTCTCACAACAATCCTATCAGGTAAGGATTAGTGTCCTCATTTTCCAAATGAGAAAACAAAAACTCATTCATCTCTCTCACTTTCCCAAGAGAGAGGATGGCAGAGCCAAGGCATCTGAACTCCCCTGGAAGGCATGACAGTGATGTGGCAGAGATTATCCCAAGTTCACCAAACCCTGATTTCTTTTCCTCCTGGACACATAGCTGGACTATATTTCCCATCTTCCCTTGTGGTTAAGGGTAGGCATGTGACTGAGTTATGGACACTGGAATATGAGTAGAAGTGATGTGTGTCACTTCAAGTCTATGCCCTGAAAAAGAAATACCCACAGGATCATCCATACTCTTGCTCTCCCTCTTCTCTCTCTGCTGGATGCAAAAGTACCCAGCAGAGGACTTCAAGGCCTTAAAAAATGTCATTGCCACAAGGTGAAGGAGCCTAGATCCCTGAATGATCACATGAAAAAGATTACTCCCTCCCCGCTAGATCCACAAATGTACTTCGACATAAATGAGAAATATGTTTCTGTATTAATACTTGAAATCTGGGGATTGTTTGTTATAGCAGTTAGCCTACCCTGATATAAATGTTGTCACCAAGGGCCAAGAGCATCCACTCCATCCTGTCCCCAACTCCACCAGCACCCAAGTGCCTCTGCCCACCTGGCTGGACGGTAGTCCAGGTCTTCATTTTGCTTTTCTTAGTGTTGACAGTTCGTGGGATTGGAGGCAGAGTAGATGGCTTGGCTTTCTGTTTGGACCGCTGCCATGGAACATAATCCTACCAGACACAACACAAATCAGTCACACAACTCATGGGCTCAAATCCCAGCTTACCCCCTTACAGATATCTGTAACCTTGATCAAGTGGATTTACCTCTCTGAGCCTCAATTTTCTCATCTGTAAACTGGATCTAATTATAAAAGCTACCTCCACAGGTTGGTACAAAAATTCCAAAAGATGATATTTGTAAAGCATGTGGTAAGTGTTCCATAAGTGTTAGCTATCACTTTTTCAGCTGCCAGCCAGAATTTACTAAGCACATCGGCTGGGAGGTGCTAAGAACTGTGAGAAACAGAAGGCATGGAAAAGACCCAACAGGGAAGCAATCAGAGATAAATAAGAGAGCAGCATAATACACCCTTACATCCTGATAGGTGGTGAGAAACTGAGCTTCAGAGCCACACCCCGTGTCCCACAGCAAATGCACGACAGAGCCGGGCCTGGAATCCACGTTTCTGGATTCTATGGCCCAGGACAGTCACCGCCGTGGGCGTTGAGAGCAAGCTGACTGCAAGCCCAGGGTCAGCAAGCCCCACCCACATACCTTCCCTAGCCCTCTTGGACTCACCAGAACCTGGAACTGGGGGACTGTGGAGCAAATCCCAGCGTGGTTGAGTCTGGAAAGTGTTGGGGCGGGAAAGAACTCCCATCATTCCCAACCCACGGGATGCAAGCAGCAAACGTGAAACTGGCATGGGGTCTCGAAGCCGAAACCTCACCCACTAGGGACACAAGCCAAGCAGGAGCTGGAGAACTCGAGGGAGAGGCGGGGCTCGGGAGATAGGGCCGGGGGCGGGGGGAGGGCGGGGTCAAAAGGCCTTGGGACAACACCCGGCGAGGACCCAGCCAGAGATAGGTTGGGCGCACGCATGCGCGGTCCACAGCCCCTCCATACGCCTTTTACGTACTTCGGAAAGACGCGCGCCATTAGGGGGAATGGAAGAAGAGTCCGGAGGCCTTGGGGCCCCGATCTTTTGGGATGCCTATTTGTTCGGCTTCTCCAACTTCCTTGTCTCAGCGTGGGTCGCGCGGTAACCAAGGCCACTCAAACTTCCCAGCGAGACCTGCCGCTTTCTTGCCTGTCTTGGTCTCCAAGGAAACGGACGCAGACTACCGAGCGCCTAGAGGAACGAATATCGCAAGGGAAAAAGTAGCTCTCTCCACATTCTTCTCATCGTGGTTTCAAATTCCCCTCAGCTGGCCCAGCCTATCATGCTAAAGAATCAAGTCATATTTCTTCTCTCAGCAAACCTCCATCACTTCCTTCCCCATCCTTACTCTTGGCTAATGACGTTGCTTCCTATTTTACGAGGAAAATCACGGGGCTCAGTAAACTCATAATTTCACATCACTTCATTTACCCACCTACATGCCTCCCTCCTGAGACTGTGTAAACTGCCTACTGACACCGATTCCTACAATCGTGCACTGAATCCTGTCCTCACTCATTTTCTCTATGATATTCCCTGGGCAATTCTCCCCGTTTTCTCCATCACCCCTTCCTCTGTATTATTCTCATCGCTTTACCAACATATTTTAATTTCTCCTATTAAAAAAAGTGACCACTTAGCATCCAGCTACCCTCCTGTTTCTGCTTCACTTTACAGCAAAACTTCTGGAGAGGTTTGCCTACTGTTTCCCATTCCTTTCCGCCTGTTCAGTCAGGCTTTCACTCTCCACCTCTCCTCTGGAACTGCCCCTGTCAACACTACCAGTGACCTCCGTTTTGCTAATCCCCACGGTCACCTCTCAGCCCTCATCTTACTCAGCCTGTCTGCAGCATTTGACACAACAGATCACTCCCTTCTTGACACACTTTCTAAACTGGTGTCCCGCAAACCACTGTCTTGTGTTGCTTCCTACCTACTTCTCCTTTCCTGGTTTCTCCTCTTCTCCCTTTACTCCCAGGTCGCCCCAGGACTCAGACCGAGCCCTCTCTTTTTCTCTGTCCATTCTCACTACATTTGTGCTCCCTTCCGGTCTTGTGACTTCAGATGCCAACTCTAGATGCCTCCCAGACTCACTTCTGTAGCCTTTCCATTGAATTCCAGACACATACATCCAACTGCCTATTCAACATCTCCACCTGGGCGCCTAAGGGGCAACTCTAACACTGAATATTTCCCCAAAAGCATTCTTCCCCAACTCAAAGTGGCAACTCTTTTTCTGGAGTCATTCTTTTTCATTCTCCACCCCCACTCTCCCGCACCACACGGCATGAGGGATCTTATTTCCCCCCACCAGGGATCAAACATGCTGCCTGCAGCGCGGAGCCCTAACGACTGGACCTAGACCTCCAGGGAATTCCCCTGCAGTCATTCTTAACTCATCTTTTGACTCATCCTCATCCCACAACCAAATCTGTCAGCAATACCTTCAAAGTAATCTGGAATAAGACCGCTTACTACTACCACCACCCGTACAAACATATACCCCACTTTCACTCTGGGACTACAGTACCAGCTCCCACCCTTACCCCACTCCAGTTCTCTCTCCACACCCCAGATTTGCTAGATAGAGCACAGATTTTAAAGTGCGTTCCAGTTTAAAAAATAAATTGGAAATTAATTAATTAATTTAAAAAATAAAAAATAAATTGGAGGGAGCAAATAATTTAAAAGCACTCACACTCTAATAGGGGAATGTTACTATAGACCACAAGGCCAGAGCTCCCAACCTTCTCCCCCTCTTAAAAATCATAGGAAAATGTTATAAATAGCACTGCACGCTGTGGTCAACAGAAGGGACTGCTATGGCAAAAGCAATCAGCATGGATACTCTGGCCATTCAAGACCCTCCCAGCTGCCCCTAGGGCTGAGGGAAGCACTATGTCAGGCACCCCATTTGCAGAGCCACAGCACTGCAGCAGGGAAGTTCTGCCAGGAAACCGATAAGAAGTAGGAGGTAGCAGTATGTGGTAGACCCGGGGGGTTTTGTCTACCCAACAGCCATTCCTCCCCTTCATCCCAGCTAATGGACCCTCATCTTGTTCAGGTGCTCACTTGCTTTAGAGGAGGCAGGTCCCAGCCCCAGCCCCAGTTCCAGCTCCAGTTCCAGCTCTGGTAGTCATGATTGGTCTGAGCTAGGCTTGGTGGGCCCATTTCCCTTGCCATTACAGGTTTGGTCATAGGCATGGGATAAAAGTCTGACCAAGGAGACAGGGTGGGAAGTCTACTCAGCAACTTTGGGGAAAGACTGTCATCACACTTTTATAAAAAGACATTGTAGAAAAACATTCCCTTGTCTATTACTAGACATCATCATATCTGTGTGACATTGCTGGAATTGTGGGACTGTGAGGACAGTTAGCTGAAAAGGACATCCTGGAAATGGAAGAAGAAAGTTGAAGAAACTTGTTCCTTAATAGCAATGCTGAGTCATTAAATTAACCAATCCTGTCACCTATCTAGAAAGTACTGGAGGTTAAATAACAAATCACCCTATTGAGTGTGCCATTGTGAGTTGAGTTTTCTGGTACTTTCAGGCCAGAAACATTCTAATGAAAGCTACATGTAAAAGAACATTGAATTCACGCCCAGGTCTCATCTCTCTGTTGTCTTCTTGTTGCACATGGATGCTATTCTTCAGTCGCCTCTCTTCCCTCTTCAAATCCTATCAGTCCTAAGTGTGAGCATAACTTCCTGGGGTGACTTGGAGTTGCCAGGCCAAGCCAGGCTTTGCAGACAAACATGGCTTCATGGGGGCTGTGGCAGAGAACCTTGTGGTAAGTTGAGTTTTTCATCATCTGAACAAACTACAGACCCTGGGGCTAGTGCTGTGTGTCATTGCTCTGCGTCTAAGCTGTCAACAGTGCACTGGGTTGAATGGTGTTCCCCCCAAATTCGTGTCCTTCCCAGAGTTTCAGAATATGACCTTATTTGTTTTTGTTTTTGTTTTTTTTGCAGTACGCGGGCCTCTCACTGTTGTGGCGTCTCCCGTTGTGGAGCACAGGCTCCGGACGTGCAGGCTCAGCGGCCATGGCTTACGGGCCCAGCCGCTCCGCGGCATGTGGGTTCTTCCCGGACCGGGGCACGAACCCGTGTCCCCTGCATCGGCAGGCGGACTCTCAACCACTGCGCCACCAGGGAAGCCCGAATATGACCTTAGTTGGAACTAGGGTTGTTACAAATGTAATTAGTTAAGAGGAGGTCATACTGGCAAAGGCTGGGCCCTTAATGCAATATGACTAATGTCCTTATAAGAAGATAAGAGACCCAGACACAGTGAGAATGCTATGTAACGAGAGAGGCAGAGATCATAGTGGTGCAAATACAAGCCACGGAGCCCTGTCATATTCATGGGCCATCTTCAGCTTGGCCACATCTGTGTGAGCCCTTGTCAATGTGGATGAAGAAATATCAATACTAGTCTGCAAGACTCTGGGTTCCCTGAGCACAGTGAAGATATCCAGCAGGGTGTCCTCCTGGACCCACTTGGTGGTGAGAGGATATAGGAGGACAAACTTAGTCAAATAGTCCTAAAGAGCCAGAATCAATGTGCATAGCCTGATACGATTTGCTTGCATGCTGATGAGATAGATTTGGCATCTTCAGTTGAGCATCTTAGAAACTATCAGTTTGGACCCCAAGTCATACTCTGCAAGGTGCTCCTTTGCTGGCAGGGTCTGCTGAGAGTCCAGTACAACCTGATGATATCACAGAAGATGCTCTTGTACCTGTGTTCCAGCTCACTCCCCATGCACGTGCACCAGCCACACCCAGTGCCAAGACAGGTCTCAGAAAAATGTCAAAGACTTTGTCCATGTGGACATAATACTGGGCTTCTGATCATGTCCCCTTCATGGGCTCTACCAGCTTCTCATTCCCATGGAATAGGCTGATGTTGACCCAGGTCCAGACCCTGAGAGTCAAGTGGCTTTTTCTTCTCTTGGCCTTGGCCTCCTTCTCTTGGGTCGGCTGGCTACACTGCTCTTTCATGAAGAGGTTGCAGTTTATAGACTTGCTTTCCAACATCTGTTGCAAATACTGAAGTAACAGCTCACACATGTGGCCCCACAGCACCCAGCCTTTGCAAGTCCACGATCTTCTCCCTCTGGGACATGATTATTATGCCAGAGAATAAGAATTTGGAGGAAGGCTCACAGCCCAGAGAGTGTAGACATCCATGCTAACATTGCACTACCGAGTGAGAAGGAAACAAAAGAGAAGCAGCAAAACTCACAAAGGAACAATTTCATTGGGGAGGGAGTAGAACACGGTGAGTCAAACATGAGTCAGGGTTCCAATCCCAGCTCACCCTTAAGCAAGTTGCCTCATTTCTCTGAACCCCAATATATTTGTCAGTAAAATAGGCATAATAATGCCTACTTCACTGTTTCGTTTTAAAGACTGACTAGCACCATTGTGGTAAAGACTGCTAATGGCCTCCAATATCCACTCTACCTTCTTCTGTAGTATTAGAATTTTTACTGGGCACATGGGCTGACCATTTCACGATCTCATTTCCCTGGATGGACCTAGAGATGATCATACTAAGTGAGGTAAGTCAGTCAGAGAAAGACACATATCATATGATATCACTTATATGTGGAATCTGAAAAAAAAAAAAAAGATACAAATGAACTTATTTACCAAACAGAAATAGACCCACAGACGTAGAAAACGAATTCATGGTTACCAAAGGTGGGGGGGATAAATTAGGAGGATGAGATTAACATATACACACTACTATATATAAAATAGATAACCAACAAGGACCTACTGTATAGCACAGGGAACTATACTCAGTATTTTGTAATAACCTATAAGGGAAAAGAATCTGAAAATGAATATATGTATATGTATAACTGAATCATTTTGTTAAACACCTGAAACTAACACAAAATTGTAAATCAACTATACGCCAATAAAATGTTTTAAAAATTTAACCAAAGAAGTGAAAGATTTGTACAATGAACACTACAAAACACTGATGAAAGTAACTGAAGAAGACACACACATGGCGTGTGTGTGTGTGTGTGTGTTGGAAGGAGGGCAAAGTTTTCCCAAAGTTAGGAAGACTATTTAAAAATAATTATATGGATAACTTCCCTATGTGGAGGAAATCCCAGGGGAAATACTTTTATGACTGTAACAGTTGAAACCAAGTT